CTTAGAAACTTAGACTCGCACTTCCTCTATGTGTCGTGTCTTGTCCTTCTTTCCGTCTGCATTTCTCTGACCCCAACCTTTTCTTATGGCTCTCACTCATACATAAGCGTTGGCATGCTCTACCCTGTCCTGTTACTGTTGTATTCTCACACCAGAGTAATGGTTGGCATAGTATAGCTTGTTTATCTTTAAGGAATACATGATGAATTAATGAGTCAATACGTGTTCGAAAAACATACATATTCAAATATGCAAAGAGAGTTCTCATGAAAATATGACATATTTTGTAAAGTTCTTTGAGAAACTGTTTGCTTTACTTTACAATAGCATGTTACTTGAAGCATTACATATTTTACTAATTCTTCATGAGTTTATGATTTATATGGAAACGCACTGTTTTCTAACCTTTACAATTGTAAAATACCTAAAGCAGGATTTTCAAATAAAATCATGCCATAATTTGATAAGGTGACTGCATATCTTTACAAGGTGAATAATTCCTCATTAGATGTTAATAGTGACAAAATGTAATATATGGATGTTATCAGTGCAGATGACTGAATGCATTTATGCCTATGCAGATGGGATTTTAGCAGTTTCACAGATGAATATGGAAATACATATATGAAAGGATATACAAAACTGTTTACAGAAAAACCATTTATTGTTTACTAAGCAGGTAAGGCCAGACTTTATGCTTTCCTAAACTGTAGTATGATAGAATGACCACAATCCTAAGTTTCCAAAAGCTGGGTTTCTAGCCATACATTTACTGCTAACTCAAGTGATTTGAACAAGTTATTGTGACTTCTATAATGTGCGTCCTGTTAGGACCAGGCTCGCTTGATTCATGGCTATATGCCAGCATCGAAAAGAGGCTGGGCCCAGAATAAATACTGTACACTGTTCTTGCCTGGATTACCTTTCTGTTTATTTACAACCTCGTTACCCTTAAGACAATAATCCCTCCAGCTCTTACATTCTAAATTAACATTGAGCCCTGGTAGCCCTTATGAATTTGAACAAGGCAGAATCAAAGCTGAAACTGCTTATTTAGCTTCTAGTCAGGTCTTTCTCAGGCTCAGTCCAATGGCATCTTTTCGCTGATATTTGTTAATATAAAGAAGTCAACCAGTGGGTGTCAGTTCTTTGGCTGCCTTTCCGCCTAAGAATTAAACAAGGCTTGAAAATTATAAAAGCATTATTCGAGTTTACAGGATTGGGTGAATATAAAAATTTCATAACTTACCTCTCAAATGTAATATTTTTCTTTTTCCAAAGTTTATAGTATGTACAATAAGAAAATTATTGAGTTTAATACAACCCTTAAAATTTCTATAGTTATACCCTGCTTTTAGAAAAATTGGTATGTCAGTTTAAAATTGGAAACAAATTAGAGCTGGAATGTGGCTCATCGTTAGGAATTCACTCTAATCTTCTAGCAGAGCTGAGTTGCACTCCTGATTTTTATATCGTCACAACTGCCTGTAAATCCTCCGACCTCTGTGGGCACTGCACATACATGACACATACACTCAGACACACGCATGCATAAAAATTTATAAGTGAAAGTACAAACAATAAAGGTTATTCATTTCTAAAGTTTCTTCTTTACATCTGCCAAACAAATGTGTAATGGGTGTTAAATATTTAAACCTATGTTTAAAGAGTTTAATCTGTGTTTAGTAGAAAAAAAAGAGTCAGGTTTGGGCTGTCAACAACTCGGTTACCTGGATAACCAGATACCCACGGAGTCCTGAGATCTGTGGCAGCAGATCTCTGGGCCAGAGTCAACATCATCATCAAAAGCGGACTTCAGGGACCCGAGAGCTACTGTACAAACCATCTCTGCAGACTGCTCACCAGCGTGCTCAGCCTCCCCATCGCTGTTTCCATGACCCAACGTACAGTATGGAACTTCCCTTCTCCTTCATGGCTTTGCATATGAAGTCACTGCTGCTCCGCCCCATGGCTATCCGTATCCTTACTCTGTCCAGTGTTAATTCATAACACCTATTGCCTTCGATAATATATCTTGGTTGTTTTCTTCCCTTGTGTATGCAAAGTACAATGTAATCTTGATGGTAGCAGAACATTCATATTTTTAATCTGTGTCTCACACCTCGGATTGAGTATGACCATAGGAAAGTCTTTGTAAGCAATTACTGTTTGAAGGATGAATGAAGGAATGAAAAATGACAGTAACCCAAGACTCCAACTGTTAATCTTCTTAACAGTTTTTCCTCCAGCTCCCCATAGAACCTCACCATTTACAGTCTCCCCTAGGGCTCTCTTTCAGTATGAATTGGTACTCCACCCTGGCCATATTGCCTCACAAGCCCTTGGCAAACAATCATCATAACTCCAGTTCTCTTGACACTTTGATAATACAGACCAAAAATCATTCATCTAAGGTTTTTTTTTTATACATTTTGTGGTTTTTACAAATACATAATTAGATCTAAAGGGTGGGACTAAGTCTGAACATGAAATTTATTTATGTTTCATGAGCATTCTACTCATACTCTGGAAACTTTAATATAATACTTTAAACAATTTTTAAGAAATTCATATATGCATACAGTATATAATAATTATATTTACCCCCTACTCCTCCCCATATCTCATTTCCACCCCTCTCCAAATTCATATTTTCTCTATTTTTTTATAGCCCACTGATTCTCTTGGTGTGGGCAATCTTCTGGAGTTTGTTTGACATACCAGGGACCAATTCTTAAAGAAAACTGACTTTGCCTACCCCTGAAGCCCTTTTAGTCCACCTATATTTTGATTATGCCCTATCACATAAGAATGTTTTGCTTGTAACATCATATCAGCACCCATAAAGCTTGGGAGTTTTGAGGTGGTTCTGATTTTTGGATTAGAATATTCATTCAACTTGTATGCCTGTGGCTTTCTCTTACCTCTGGAGTAGGATCTAACCAATTCATAGGCATAAATGAGAGATGTTCTAACAGTACCCTAATTTCTTAAATAACTACACCTAAGAAGTAGGCATGGTATATAAACAATTGAATGCCAACAGTAGTTACAGTGGCCATGAATGAAGTTCTGTCCTCAGTAAGTAGACATGTTCTATAAAAATAAGTCACATGGGAAAAAACAAGAGACCCAAAAGGGGAAATAAGAAAAGAACTTCTGAGTCTCAGGTGGGAAAATTGGGACATGGCTGTAAGTGTTGGTAGCACTGTAAATGCCACGTCCTTTCTTGAAGGGCAATTTGGAAATTACAATGGAGATCACTAGCCTTTCAATTTCTTGGGGTTTATTCTGTAAAAACTTCTCTATCATCATTGGAATGCCGATAAGTGAAGACATAGTTTAGTTTGAAATCTGCATTGCTATCTAATACGGCAATGCTATCATTTTAGTGTATTATATTGGCTGAAATGAGAAAATTGATGCTAGAATGTATAATCTCCCATTGTTGAGTTTAAAGCTATTTTTCCTGACAAGAGGGAAGACAGTGATCAAAATTCACGTATCATCTGCTTTCCCAGATATTGATTTAACTACAAAATAAGAGCAAGTAGATGGAAGTTTTATGACGGATAAGGCATGAGAAAAGAGGAATCCTGAAGTAGGACAAGGAGATAAAGACCATCTTCAATGTTTGCTGTTTCTGTAATACTTAACACTTTGTAATAGACATACGTTCTCTTTAGCAAAAATAGCAATAAGAAAGTGAGCAGTAAAAAAGTAATAAATCCACCAAAAGCATCAATAAGAATATGCAGCATTCTTATATGTGTTATATAAGTTTATTATGTATCTGATGACACAAAATGCAAAAGAGACACAGAGGCCAAAATGAGAGGGTAAAATGTTACCATTTATATGATGTCTTTAAGAGTGTACTTAAATACCCATATTTGTGAAAGATAATGGCAAATGAATATTTTTGTATGTATGAGTATCTTCTATAGAAAAAGTATTTATATGTTTCTAATGAGTCTTAAATTATACAACAATAAAAGGTAAAGTAGTAATGTATATGGACTTTGTCTATGGAAAAAAGCTTAGGAGTTTGTCTTACCTTTAGCCGTTGATTGTATGTATATCACTGTCAAGCTATGAGAAGAATACTGGGTAATGCATCGCACAGGGATCAAAGACATTGCTCTGAATTTAGTTTATAAATAACTGAAATAAGCCTGGTGTGGTGGCACATGTGTAAAATATCAACATGTGGCGGCTGAAGCAGGAATGTTGGGAGCTCAAAGCTGGTCAGTGCCACCTCAGGAGGACAAAACCAACCTGAGCTACACAACAAGATGCTACTTAAAAAAAAATGCAGTGGAAATGAGCTAGTATACAGTTCAAATGATAACAACTCCCCCTAAATGCCGGACAGGTCATAGAGCTGAATCAGAAAGCTGGAGAGAGTCATGATTCTTTAGAATGAAGATAGTTTACACTTGTTCTCCCTCATTAGGTAACCCATATTCCATCCCAGGTTATATATCCTAAATTAAGGTATTATTACAACCATCAAAGAAACCAAATAAATACTATTTCTTTATAGGAAGGTTCTTGATATATGGATGCACCAATGCTATCAGGTTTTTCCCTCATGTTTGTATGATACGGCCTTTCTTTAGATCTACTTCCACACAGTTGTACTGTTTCAGACTAGGAGTACCCTATGAAATTGCTCACTGTTATTTTCCATGTAACAATCGAGTGCCAGATCTATTCTTTTCAATGAAGTTGCCATAGCAGTACTACAGTAGTTTACTTCCGTTCACAGGGTCAGAGATGCTCGCGGGACACACCTGGAGCTGTGGGCTGTTGTACCTACTGCTAACTTCTCCACGAAAGAACTCTTCCGAGAAAGATTTATTCTCTTAGGTCACGGCTGTTCTCATTAAACTTTTAATGATAATGCAAAGCAACTATTGCTTTCACAGAGTCGACTGATATTCAGGGAAAAGTTGGCTAAGTAAAACTTGGTGCTTGTTTCCATTCTTTCCAATCAGAGTCGGGCCACAAGAAGTTAAAGAGTACCATCCAGCGGAGTACGGAAACAGGAATGGCAGCCGAAATGCGGAAGATGGTGAGACAGCCGAGCCGGGAGTCCACGGATGGCAGCATCAACAGCTACAGCTCCGAGGGGAAGTGAGTGGCGTCTTGCTGCATGGCACCTCGGGATGTGAATTGTTTAGGATTTCCTACTGTGTCACTTATTCGCATAACCGGAAGTTCCACCATCTGTTTCTAGCCTGACATTCTATAAGCACCTGCGGACACATCCCTAGTCAAACCTATCAAAGGAAGAAAGTGCTGTCCTTCACTGAACAGATAGAATGGAACTGCCACATTTAACGATTTTTTTTCATATAGGAAACAAATGGCCTAGCACTGCCACCAGAAGCAGAATGAAAATTTAGATGCGAGAAACTGATTTCTGATTCCCCAATTTCTTTCCTAGCTTTTCTGAGCTTTATGATGCTTTGAACCTGACATGTTTTTACCTAAAAGAATTTACATTTTCCTGTTTTTAAAATACCAATAGTTCATTTTTATCTCAGCATAAAAGAAAAAGGACTCTTTCTACCTCATTTTTCCAACCAAAGCTTTTTAACTCTAAAATTGGGTATTTCTGAGAGTGTATAAGAACATTTTTGGTTTCTGCATTTTCACATACTTTAGAATTTTGGGGTTGGAACTATATGCTTTTGTCACTAATGTTTAGTGAGATTGCAAGAGATGAACCACTTACAAGGTTTTCATAATTGTCCGGTCATCAGCATTTAACCCCCTTCGAAAACAACTCAAATTTAATAAATTACAGTCTGTAAGGTAGCTTCATAGGGAAAGCATGTGCCTTATGACACAAGTTTGAAGGTGTAAAGGAAGAGCTGGTTTCTGAAGGATGTCCTCGGACTTCTATACACAACCATGGCAATGGCAAGTGCATGTCTGCATTCACACACACACACACACACACACACACACACACACACACACACACGTCATGATCAGTACAAATTTTCAAAATTGAAGACATTAAATATTTTCATTGTAAATAAAAAGTTGAACTGTCCAATAATACTTATTAAATATACTAGCAGCTGTGTAAAGATTTTGCATTCATGTCATCTAATGCTCATGAATACACGTGTGACGCTAATGATATTAAGTTATAAACATCTAGAACAGTTGACATACTAGAAATGGTTAGAGAGTGCTCCTGAATGGAGCCTCAGGCCTTAAGGTGAAATTCTAATAGCTCCTCTCAAGTGCTATTGCGCCTCATCTGCTTAACTCATAGGTATCACGAGTAAACATCCGGGGTATATCTGCTGATCAGAACTGTTAAAAAGAACCTGCCAAGAGGAGAAGTCTGAAATGTGTTTATTCTCTTTCGTTTGCTGTAGCTTACTATTCCCTGGAGTTCGAGTAGGACCCGACAGTCAGTTCAGTGACTTCCTTGATGGTCTGGGGCCAGCTCAGCTTGTTGGCCGCCAAACCCTCGCCACCCCTGCCATGGGTAAGGATTATTCTTCTGCAGTTTTATAGTTGATAAGGTCGTTTAGATTGGTATAGTACTATTACAAATGAAGGTTTTACTATTCTCAAGCATAAGGCATAGATGACATTGAAGGAACACAAAGAGTTGTGTGTTATGATTCACAAGACACAAGCTTAAACAGGAAGGAAAAAAAAATCAACAACAAATGAGTGAAAGAAGTATGGTCTGGTGACCACCCTTTTCCTGGTTCAGATTAGATGGTTTGTCTCTACTTTAAAAATATAGGCAAGTTGGATGTAAAATGGGAGGATCATTAGAAATATGGAATTAGAATTACTTAAGCTATTACTAAACTGATCAGAGATTGCACACAGTTTATGGAAAAAAGTAAATAATTTCTAAAATAAAATAATAACCATGATAACATTTTTCTGAAACAATATTGTAAATACAATCACCAGGTATCAAGCACAGATAATCAGACAAAAATAAAAAGGGAAACTTTTTTTTTAAATGCAAAAGCAATAGAAAATAGATGTCAGCTGAAACTGAGTCCATATATGAAAGTTAAAGAGGTAGATTGAAAAAAAAATTAGAGAGATTATGTCAGGGGTTAGAGTATTCTCTGCTCTCCCAGAGGACCCTAGTTCTCAGAACCCATATTCTGTGGCTGTAACTGCAGTTCTAGGGGATCCAACACATTCTTATAGGCTCACAGGTCACAAGGCATGCAATACCATAACCCCCACACATGTGTGTACACATACACAAAATAAAAATAAATCCTATAAATAAAGATTATATGGCTCAAGGAGTAAAGAATAAATTTGAGAAGTCTTAAGATAATGAAATTAAAAAAAATAAAACTGATTTTCTAGAACTAAGAAATGTAACTAACTTAAGAATTGAAAGATTGCATTATTTTAACAAAGCCAGGGAGAAAATTGATGAACTGCATGATAAGCCATAAGAGGTATCCAGAATTAATTGGAGAAACAGAAGAATGAAAAGTATAACTAGGAAGATGTGGAAAGGGAAAAAATAATTCTAAAGTTTACATAATCATTGTTCCAGAATGAGGGAAGAGAGTGTATGATAGAGGCCATATTTTCAAAATCAGTGATTAAATACAATTCCCAAACCAGAAGTTTGATTTTAATTGATAATAGGTTCTTCTCTCATGCAATACATCCCAAAGTAGTTTCCCCTCCTAACTCATACTTCCAAAAAGTCTCTACAAACTCAAACAACATAAATGTGTCAATATTAAAAGTCATGATAATACAACCAACTTCTTATCACAAATGTATAGTTGATTTAATACCTGAAAAAAGAATGTAATTAACCTCATTCATCAAGGAGAAAAATACCCATATTAACATACAGAAGCACATTTGACGAAATTCCATATTAATTCACAGTTTTATAAAACTTACAATAATTTTGGAATGAAGAAGAGCATACTTAATATGATAGCATTACAAAATGTGCATCATATTAGTCCCCAACATTTAAATGCCGTACAGTGCTGGTAGAAGTTTGATGCCATACATCATTGGCTTGGATAATATGGTGGTGTTCATATTAACCACCGCAGAAACCACACTTCAGCATCCACCAACGTTCCTCCACCTTTTTCCTCGTCTCATGATTTGAACAGAAGCTGCGATTGTCTTTTGTCTTCTTTTTCAGGTGATATCCAAATCGGAATGGAGGATAAAAAGGGCCAATTGGAGGTTGAAGTTATCAGAGCCCGGAGCCTTACACAGAAGCCTGGCTCCAAGTCTACCCCTGGTAAGGAAAAGTAGCACTCTTGTGGACGGGGCTCTTCTTGGCTATGTTTATTTTAACGTGCATGTTGAGTTGCATGCACTTCTGTACATCCATGCAGTGCTCAGAGGAGCCAGAAGAGAGCACTGGACCTTCTGGAACAGGAGTTACAGTTGTTGTGAGCTGTGAGCTACCCTGTGAGTTCTAGGAACTGGTCCTGGGTCCTCTGCAGGAGGAGTATGTGCCGTTAACTATTGAGCCATCTCTCCAGTGCCTGGGTAAAGCTTAGATATGGGAAATCCTGAAAATTTTGTCGCATTTTGCTTTCTAATTGATCTTAGCTAAAGGGTGAGAAAATAATGCATTTGAAATTGGATTTTGCTTTAAGCAATCATTTTCCTTAAAGAGCAATTTTCTGTGATCTTTGATTTTATAAAAAAAGGATCTGGGTTTTGCTTTCACAATTACTTTGTTCAAAAGTACTAGGAAAATGCTGTTATTTTCTAAAAAATATAATTCTAGTCATTCTTTGTGCCATATAGTTTTTCTGCATACCTAAAACCACAAAAGAAAACACAAAACACTGAGATTTAAGATGTTTACTGTACTGTAATGTCAGCCCTGACTCAAGTAAATGAGTCAAGACCACTGAATTTCCTTGAAATGAGGAAGGATGCAGTAGTGGTGATGTATGTATGGATTGTACATAGAGGTTTTAGACCTATGAAAATGTCCAGATAGTAAAAATCTCCAAGTCCCCAAGGAAGCATCAACTCATCAACACAGAGTTAGTTCAAGCAATAAATTCATACATGTCTGCTCACCCTTGTTTAGCGCCCTATGTGAAAGTCTATCTTTTGGAAAATGGAGCCTGTATTGCCAAAAAGAAGACAAGAATTGCACGGAAAACTCTCGACCCTTTATATCAGCAGTCCCTTGTTTTTGATGAAAGTCCACAGGGTAAAGTTCTTCAGGTCAGTAACACTTTTCTCAGCTGGTTATGGTGATATCTGTTGGTCTAACTAAAGATATGGAGAGCATTGAGGAAAATCAATTCACTAAAGCCTAATTTACTAAAGTAGTATCTATAGTATTAGCAGTATCTGATATATGTAGTGGAAGGAAACAAAATTTAATGTCTTTCTCTTTCCCTCCTTGTCTCTACACTCTCCAAACTTTGACCTCTTTGTCACTTTTTTTTTCTCTTCTTGATACATAGCCATAGCCATACTGAAGATAGATTATACAGAGTTTAATGGTAGGTAATATTGATGGTAGATAGGTTTGGTGATAGATGGAAAGATGATGATAGGTTGTAGATAGATCATAGGTAGATATAGAGATAGAGATGGGTGGATAGATAGAAATGGGTGGATAGATAGACAGATAGTAAGATAGATAGATAGATAGATAGATAGATAGATAGATAGATAGATAGA